GAAAAATAAATACAATAGCTGATATATCCAGTAGCTTTCAGAAGGTCAATATGCTAGATCTTTATTTAACATGGGTAAAAGATTTTCTCCAGAACAAATTCAAAAAATTATCAAAAGCAAAAGCAACTAAACCTCATCCGCAAACTTTTATTCATGTAACTTTTTACAATATACAGTATATACTTTTACTATTTAGGGAAATTGTTTTCCGATTCAAATTGGCAATACAATGTAAATCAAAAAGTCTATAATGATCATTATTATTATTATATTTCTAAAAATCTGAAAACGGGGTTTTTTTAATTTATACCAATATTATTATTAAAGAATTTTTAATTTAAAATATATTTTTTGATATCCCGGATCTGCATAACAAATTTCTATCATTGATCGCCGGACCACCAATTAAGAATGCTGAAATTACCCGGGAATGTTATATAGATAAAAAAGACGTGGAGATATCAGTAGCAGTTTACAAGAAAAAGTGTCACGTTTCATGATTCTGAAGGTTTGTATGTTGATGAGAAGCGAAAAGCTATTGTTGCAAATAGGCATTCTTAAATCCAAGGAATTTATCATCATCATCCAACAGCACAAATAAAGAACACAAAAGTTGCCTCCATCACTAAAAGATTGAAGGGTATAGAATCAAGATTATTTCACAGTTTATTATCATCATCATCAACCACAACAAATTCCATGGATATCTTCGGCATTATCTTCTTCCTTGTCAACTTTCTCTTCAAAAACACGTTTGATGTTGTCTTCCTCCGTTTATCAACAGCAACAACAGAAGCAACAGTTAGAAGTGGTAAAAGATCCTGATTATAATGAATAGATGTTGCCGTTACTAATATCAACGATAAAAAGGTTTCAACTGAAAATAAACAAACATGAAATAAAAAAAAAAAAAAAAAAGCAGAAAATAAAATTTAACAACTGAAAACGTTGATAAAACAAACATGAAGATGATGACCAAAATCTTTTATGAAAGAGAATGTTCAGATGAA